TCCAGCGCCTTACTTCTCGGTCTCCTGGATTAAAGAGTGCACCTTCCTTCATGAAACGTGGCCGTCTGGACAGCAGCACCCGACCTCCACCATTGGGAATGGCGCGCGGTGGGGCTCCCCATGGCTCCCCGGGGGGAACCTGGTTTGATCACCCAAATGAATCCGGAATCAGCAGCCAGTGCTTCATTACTCAAGGTGAAGAGCCAACATCTGGCGTGCGGGACAGCGTCCAATATCCTTCTATGATCCCCCCAAAGAAAGGATAACTGGATATTTCCCTACAGTTCAAAGGAAGAAGTACTCAAGTGAAACCCAAATGCGGCATAATGCGACCATGCGTGATTACGGTGATGATGCGCCATTCATATATTCACATGACATGACTTCGATATAGCATGAACAGTAAATATATATATATACAAGACCCCTTCAAGAAGTAAGGACCAGCATCACAAACTGGGTGCTTCACAAACTGTAATTCTGACAGTCGTGTGTTGAAGGACATATCTCCCAACATCTCCCGTCATCATCCCATGCCGGGCTGCAATTCACAGGTTTTATGATCTCCTCCGTGTGCGCTCCAAACTTGTAAGTGCCTCCGGGTGCGCTTGGAGCTGCCAGCGGCAGCTGGATGATACAGTAAGCCTGTTTTTAGCACTGTAAAGTAGCCATCTATACCCACATGCACCCTCCTGGTGGGCTATCTGTTGGCATAGACTGAGGGACCTGTGCCACACACATGAATAGAAATCCGCATGCGGATGCTCTCCCTCCTGCAACATAAGCAAAAAAAAGAATATCGAACACGCACTTGCGCTGGAAAACTTGGTATCGTATGGAATGAATCACATGGACATCCACCAGGTTTCAGAGAAATGATATGTTTTCTTTGAAAACGGTCATGTTCAATATCTTTCAATTCTATGAGGGATGCACAATGCTTGCAGTCACCTCTGGTGATCACCGGCACTGCCGCAGTGCCCTTTGCTATTCTACATGATGGCATGTGGCAGGAACACTTTTCGGCCACCAATTTATGAAGACTCACGGTCTGAAGGCACTGTGGAAAATAAAGCAACATAATGCAACCACGACATATAAATATAAATAATATAAATATCATACTGAGCGCACATACCCTCTGGTAAACTAACATAACTATGGAAAATCACCATTTTTAATGGGAAAATCCACTATCATTGACCATTTTCAATAGCTATGTTAGTTGACCAGAGGGTACTACCATCAGTTCAAAACCTTCAAGCCGCAAGCCGTCCGGGACCCATCTATTCGCACCTGGACCGGGCACGGCGACATGGTTCTGGGCAGCAGGGGATGAGGCGGCCACAGCCCCATGTTGACCTTGCCATGACACGCCAAAGATCGCTACAGGATCCGCAAGTGCAACATCGTCAAATCTCGGTTCACATCTTCAATGGTTTGTGGCTGAAAAAAGAATGTGTTTCTGCATCTTCGGATCATTTATTTAGTAGCACGGGTCCAAGAATGCATTGGCATGGCATTGGATTGTAGTGCATATGAAATGCGTGCCTGCGGATCCTGCGGGCTACCAACGGAGACAGTAAATCTTAATAAAATATTGATCACGAATATAGAGGTAATATATGCATGTAGATCCAATAAAATACCAACAATCTCCAGTGTAATCCCATCCCCCTAATATCAAACACCCCCCAGAATCCCAGAAACAATGGTTTCGTAGGGAATTTACGCATGATCATATATGGGACCATAGAACGGAGGTGTTTATATATAATATTAGGGGATATTAGGGGGATGGATTACCCTCTGGTAAACTAACATAACTATGGAAAATTACAATTTTTAATGGGTAAATCAACTATAAATGGGCCATTGTCAAGAGCTTTTTGTATGTTTACCAGAGGGTAATCCATCCACAGCTGCATCCAATTCATCCAAGTGGCACAGCTGTCTCATTCGAAGCTCTTCATCCGCAGCTTTCCGCGCAGCCTTCTTGCCACGGGGAGAGGCACCTGCACAACATGGCACTGCGGGACGGCTGTGGCTCATGACCTGCAGCAATGACGTACGTCATCCTTAGTGTGATCGAATTTGTTCATATCCTTTCGATTTCAAGTGAACAAGAATGATACCAATGATATACCATGAACATGAGATTATCATTGGTATCATTATTAACAATGACAGTATACCATGATTAACAATGATACTCATGATTAACAATGACAGTATACCATGCATTTCAGGTGCATAATTGCCAGAGATGATCTCATGATGGTCCTGTTGAATCCCGCCGATGGAGCTCCCAGATTCCTTCCGGCTACCGGCGGTCAGCCTTTTACGTAAAATTGGTGAGAGATTGACTGCGCACAGCAAGTCAGTTACAACCTTCACAAACTGGCAAGACTACCTAATACCCAAACAATTCTTAAGTTGAAAATGGTTTAAATACCTAATTAGAATGGGTATTAGGTATTATTAAGTTGAAAATGGGTAATTGAACTGGCAAGATTAACTATGTTGAACTATTAAAACGTTCAATCTTGATCCAGTTTGTGAAGTTCTGCTGAGTTTCATCACTGAGTCTATGCCCATAAGCCCTGCCTTTGAGTTGTTTGCCAGCCTCCGGCATTCTAACATGCGGGTCTGGCACGGAACGTTCCTAAGGCCTTCCGATTCGAAGCCGAAATGCACCGTGGATGCGACTGTGCACAGATCTGTTCTGGCGGCTTGTCAGCAGCCAGAAAAAAGCTCCTTACAACAGCTTAACTTGGCAACTGTCTTACATGCCATTCTCATTGACAAATACTCCTGGCAAGTGTCCATAATTTGCCAGTAAGAAAAAAAGAGCTACAACTATTCATGTACAATTGTAGTTTGTGTTCGACAGACTGTTCAACTGTCTATTCTATATAGTTTGCCTTAGCTCGTGGGTTTCTCGAAGAAACACTTTCAATGATCAGCGCGGCGCCCTGCCTTGCCAACGGGCTTGCCTAAGGTCAGGACTTCCATGGGAAGTCAGAAATCAATGATGGGCTCCCATGGGCCACCGAGTGAATGTGGTCCCTTCCATGGGAAACCAATCAACAACTAAGGTACCCCAAGATCCAGTGGCCTATTGTCAATGGGGCCCCCATTGAAATGATCCGAAACAGCGTTTTCTTGTGGGTGCCCATCTCGTGTTTCCGGACAAACATGGACAAATCATTCATGGGCGTAGCTATAGTAGGTTATGAAAAAATAGCATGTCTTGATGGTTGGATCATGTTAAATCATGGTATAGATCCATACCCTCTGGTAATTTAACATAGCTATTGAAAATGACCATTTATAGTGGATTTTCCCATTAAAAATGGTGATTTTCCATAGTTATGTTAGTTTACCAGAGGGTAATGATCCATCATTTCTGGTAGAGAGCCTCCATCCCAGCACTTTTTCGCCTCATCACGAGGAGGTACCGACAGACGGTGAGACGCTGGAAGGAAGCTGGGCCTCGGATGCCGAGGCAGCTTCATGAAAAAACTCCTCTGAATACATAGATTCAGATGAAGATACTGAATCTGTATAAATAAATAAATGTACACACACGCACATATATATAATTATATATCTATAATTATGTATATCATTATATATATATAATTATGTATATAATTATGTATATAATTATATATATAATTATATATATAATATGTATATACGTGATATATATATATATAATTATATACAATATATATATATATGTATATATACGTGCGTGTGTGAAATTACAACAGATCAAATCGAAATCAATATGTAAAATTGGGAAAGTTCCATTCCACTATCTTTGAGGCAACCATTCTCTTTAGACATCAAGTCTTGTTTGGTGCAGACCCGTTTCACATGTTTATTTTCATGGATCTTTTACCGCCTGCAACATGTTGAACTCGCTCAGATCCCAGCTCCTCTCCTGTCTCTCCAGCACCTCGGGATCGTCATCACGGGCAATCAGCTTGGGATAAGACGGAAACGAACTGGCACATGTTGAGATAAATTGAGAGAACTGGCAATTATATGCAATTATAACATATTATAACAATCTTAGTGGTTGCTCAACAATCTTGGGATTTTTCTTCATGTGGTTCCAAGCATGGACATAGGTGATGCATGTTTTATCCGGCACCGAAAGTAGTAGAATTTCAAAAGCCTGCCGAACCTAGAATGAATTGGCTGCCAAGCTGCTGGATGGCAAATGCAACTCCATTTCCATCACCGGCCCAGCCATCGATGCATTCAGTACATCTCAATACGGTGTAAGGATCGCCTTGTGCTGTTCGATGACTTGTGATCAGTGCGTTTTTTATCAGCATCTCTCTTTCTTCCTCTCTCTCTCTACTGCATCTTCCTATTCTTCCTGCTGTATCTGCTGTGACCGTCGCTTTGCAAAAACGCGGTGAATCGTTTCTGCCTTCTTGAGATGATTGCTTTCCGTTGCTATGCTGAAATGCTTGCAGGGGGGCCACATTTTCCAGCTCAAGTGGCTATGGCTGAGACCATCGAGACACCCCAATTACCCCGATATGGTACCTGGTGTGTGAGAAAATGAGACTTATGCCCAGCTCTTAAATTTTAGGTGATCCGCTGCAAGTTCATCAAGCCAAAATCATTGGGTGAAGGCTTCTCTGTGCCACACCTAGGAGAAAAAAAAAAAGCTATTGCTCCGCATTGCCAACCTCTGCATATGTTTTTAACAAAGCACCAAGCGGTTGCCGGGTGAAACTTCCTTCATTGGCCGCCGTGAATGCTGCATCATGCTGCGCTTGGTCTATTTGGATGTAAGGTTCATCACTGCTAATCACCCATCAGCTCAGTTACTGTAGCTGCTTGTGGTGAAACCCTGAAGGAAAGTGCTCAATGGCAAATCACACAACTGTCAGCCGTTGATATGGTTACACCTCCGATGGATAAAGAACAAACAACATTTTCACAAGTCTCCATAGGAGATACTCCAATCGCTCTCAAGGCTTGTAGTACTTTCCAATCAACCAGCCTCAAGCCATCGCAGGGGCACTGCCGTTTTAATACGGAGAGCATCAAACCATGGAGGCAGTCATTGGACTGGACGTTGAAGCGAGCTCATGTGGAGAATTGTGGGATATTGTTTTCTTGCTTCCCACTGGATAGCCAGGGATCCATCATCATCATCATCATCAGCATCAGCATCATCATCATCAGCATCAGCATCACCATCTAGACCCCAAACCCCTTTATTGAACTCTTCAATGAATGTAGAGTTTTGCTGGGGTGGGCAAGCACAGGCCAGGGCCCCCAGGGCCCCCAGGGCCCTAGCCGCCAAGGGCACAAAACAGATCCACCGCTGGAAAGACCTCAGCGGATCATGGAAACTTGGTGGGCACTGCCAGGGAACCGATGGAGATGTCGATTGACATATTGGATCATGTGCAATCATATTCTACATATGTCATCATATGTCCATATGACATGCCCCCGAAATTGACTTCTCAGGAGGCAAATAAAATAACCTATGGGTGTTGAAGTCATTGAGTCCTTAATCATAGATGTACAGTACACCACCAATGATGTACAAAATGTTTGTCCATTGATGGTTTGATTGAGCATCCCAGCCAGAACGCTTGCCAGTAGGGCGGGCGGCTTGTCTGCCGTGGCCACCTTGGCTGCTGATGGAGGGATTTCAAACAAAGCCAGCTCCCAGCAGCGCGTTGTACTTTCGAGGATTCCAAACGTTTGGAGTGTTTGAACCCGAGGAGAAATGGGATGTTTATATGTGTCCCATTCCAAAATACCGGATCATACCCACAACTCAGGTTCCGAAGAGTGGGACACTTCCCTCCGATCCCACGGCATCGTTACCTTTGGTTGCTTCCAATCCACATGACATGCCCAAAACTCAGCTGGGTCTGGAAACCCTGAGCACCTCGTAATCCCATCCCCTTCATATTGAGCACCCCCATTCTATGGTCCCTGATAGGTGTTCTCATCCCCTACCAGTTCATGAATATTCCAAGAATGTCATATTATATTATATCATAATATGCCCATTATATCCCCAGGAAAAATATATTTAATCATTAATCCTGATCACAACTAATCACCATTATCAAAGGCCATTAATCACCATGATATAATCCATGGTAATATCCTCCCATTAATTCCATAGTGTTTGAGTGCCATATTAGTCACTTCTAATCACCATTAATCATCATTGTTAATATCTATCTATCTATCTATTTATCTATCTATCTATCCATCTATCTATCTATCTATTTATCTATCTATCTATTTATCTATCTATCTATCTATCTATCCATCTATCCATCCCCATAAATCCCATTGATTCGCCATTGAAAGGACGGGATTGCCATGTCTTTATGGCTGCCACCTCCGCCAAAGGCCCCGGGCCAAAATAGCAATGCGTGCCACGCCATCCAGGATCAGGGCCAGGTTCAGAGTCCTCGAGAGGAGCCAGCGGAAACCCAACCGGATGCCCAGCCAGCAGTTTATTTAACATAGCCATGGAAAATCACCATGTTTACTAGGTAAACCATCTATAAATGGACCATCTATACCATGGCTATGTAACAAATAACCAGAGGGTATATGTGTATAAAAGTGTGTGTAGGTATATAAATAGAAATATGTAAATGAATAAATATATGATCTGTACTGTATGATCATGTATTATCTGTATTATAGATAACTGTCTCTGGAAAAAACTGCGCTAGTTCAAAGTTGGCAGGGGCGTGCAGGTTGTCAATTGTGAGGCATGCTCACCATGCTGACCGTGCGACCGTGACGAGCCCGCCAATGCCTCAAGAAACAAGATATATCTCAATCCACAATCCGCACGAGTTCCCTCAGCTCATCATTTCTAAGGCTTCCTCATGTTGGTTTTCAAACTCTTCCACTTGGGTACCCCAACTAGTAACTAACATGTGGAAAATCACCATTTCTATACATTATCCATTTCTTAATGGGAACACCCCCTCCCTTCTTAATACGCGTAATGGGTAATAACTAATCTGTGGAAAATCACCATTTCTAGCCATTTCCTAATAGATCTTAATAGAAATGAATATAGGTAATCTTAATAGATCTTTATAGATCTGAATAGATCACAATTATATAAGAACTATTAAGATCTTTTTAAGAGCCGTTTTCCTATTAAATGTGATCTTATATTATAATATGAACGAATAAAGATCTATCTATTATAAGATCTATCTATTGTATTAAGATCTTAGATAATTCAATTACAAGATTATTAATTCATTTATTAAGATCTATCTAAGAACTACTAAGATTATCTATAAGATTACCTATATCTATGATAGATCATCTGAATAGTTCTATAATAGATCACAATCTTAAGATCATCGAACTCAACGGGCCGTGGCTTCCTCTCCTGTATGTCTCCGAGCTCAATCGCTTGGGACCAGCCACTGCGGCCGTCTGACCTGGAGGCCAGGCATCCGGCCGTGGGCACCGGTCAACAAATAATAGATATATGGTATATTTACAAATAGTTGTTTAATATACTGCATATATATATAATATATATATACTATATATATTGGTATATCTATATATATATATATGTGTGTGCCCATACACTTACATACCATAATAGGTTCATACGATATCATCTTATGGGTTCTCATTGGGTTTACCACATGGTTGTGATTCATATAATATAATACAGCTTGTTATGCGTATGTATATTATATAATGTCCAAAAGCACCCAAATCATCCCAAACCCATAGGTCAATGTGCCACATGTTGTCTTTCCACTGAGGTTTTGAACTGAGATGGTACTCTATCTCTCTTCATCACCTTCTCGAAGAGTTGAGCTATGCTAAAGGCTGGGATGGTAATACCTTTCATATCTAACAGCATGGACCTGATCTTGCCATGTCGCGCCCATCCTATTTTGACTCCAGCTGCAGGGGGAGTTCCTGTCAGTCCAGCCCCGCTTTTCGCAGTGAAGCCTGACCGGCAGCTGCCAAAATGCGACCGACTTGTGGGCGGGTTGTGTCACTACATGTTACTTCGAGTTGACCCGTTTGAAGGCGGCATGCTCCTGCCATCTATCTATCTAATCTATCGAATCTATCTAATCCATCTAATCGATCTAATCTATCCAACCTATCTAATCTATCTAATCTATCTAATCTACCTACCTACCTACCTACCTACCCATCCATCCATCCATCCATCCATCCATCCATCCACCCAACCGAACCTACCCTAATCTACCTATCTATCTACCTATCTAGCTATCTATCTACCTATCCATCTATCTACCTACGTGTGTGTGTGTGTGCGTAAATAAATATATACATATATATATATATGTGTGTGTAATCACACATAATTATATATATATATATATGTATATGTATATGTATGTGTGTGTGTATGTGTGTGTAATTGTGTGAACATATATCGTGTGATACTGCATGATACAGCTGGCAGTTCTGGCAGTGGCCAGGTTCGAGACTCAATGCAAAATAATGTAATCAATCTATAATATATATATATACACGCCCCACATCCAGTGCCAGGGAATGGTATCAAGGGGTTGAACGTTACCGTCAGAAAAGGGCACCTGCATTTGTCCAACTGCTCTCTCTGGAGCATTCTTGCACATCTCTTCCAGGTTGATGTTGCTCAGCATGCCTGACAGATCCTTGGCGCTGTCCGCAGGGTGGGTGCCCTGGCAGCCGTCTCGGAATGGCAGTGGCATTCAACAGTCAACCCATCATACTCACCATCTTTCAGGGGGAATGACCAAGAGGATTGCCCCCATCCTCTATGATGCAAACGGTATCCAACACAGCCGGTTCATTTACAAAGACATTTCAATTTAGCTAAGTAGTTATCATCATCATCATCATCATCATCATCATCATCAGAATCATCATCAGCAGCAGCATCAGTCACCGTCATGATCATCCTTCTCCATTATGAGTCAAGTCTCCAGGCCAGTTGCAGCAGCATAGAATCCTTGCCCGAGGCAGTCGGGGTGAACTTACCTACCTTCGAAGAGTTGGAAAGGGAACCCCTGTCGATGCCCATTGTTAACCACGCTTGCCACACTTCACACCATGTTTTGCAGGTTGGATTCACTATATTGATCACTATAAATCAAAAAAATATACTATTAAAAACTATTAGTCACTATTAATCACAATAAGCAAACACAACAAGTGATCCAGGGGCTGCTGGCTTTGATCCCACCTAATTGACGCAGGAAGTTGCAGGCATCTCCAGCTTCGCGCATCATGGCGGGAGACCGCTCCACACTGCGCCGGACGTAGCTTAGCATGGAGTTCCTTGGAACTCCATGGCATCATGGCAGGGTGCCACCGGGAAACACAACAGGGAAATGTGGAAGATGTGGAAGGTGAAAATGAATGTAAAATATACCCTCTGGTTATTTAACATAGCCATGGAAAATTGCCCATTTATAGATGATTTTCCCATTAAAACCTCCATTTATAAGGGATGTTCCATGGCTATGTTAAATAACCAGATGGTAAATGCGACATCCAGCTCGTGATGATTATGATGATTATGAAATGATTATGATGGGACGAAGGAGTAATAAAAAGAATCAGTCTCAACAAGCGTGCACTTCTGCCATGATTAGGCGGCTATGCAAACCCTCTGCATGGGCGTCTTGGCCTGCTTGTCGCGAACACGTAAAATCCATTCACTATCACCATATCTATCACCATTCATCACCCATTTGCCAACAAGATTGGAAGTGCATAGCCATTTCATCTTTGGCTGCGTGACCGCTGGGAGCTGATTGGAAAGGGGGCTTCCATCTTCCTTTACATCTTCTGCAACTCTCGGAATTGATTATTTAACCACCTCTCATCAACAAAATCCCTGAATCTGCCTATAGACAGCCATGAACATCCAAACTAAATCAAACATAAGCATACATTAATATGAAACATTATGAAACATCCATCAACTGGCTGATTTTGTATGATTGCGGGATCCAAACATATCCAAACACCTTTCCAGGGCATCCAAGCGATCCAAGCGACATGCACTCCTCGACCGCTGGGCCGTGGGCGCGCAGGTCCTGGAAGCCTTTGGTGATCACCGTGAGCGAACCAATGCGGAAGGCATCTGCAGGAACCTCACCTCAAATGGCAAGTCATTTATGGCAAGTCACTATGCTTCAAGATATTAAGACTATTTAATAGGATGATATTCATATAATTTGAAATGTATATATATATACACAGTAAATATTATGATATATGGGTCATAGTGTAATGAATTATGATATATTATGATGAATGCTGGGCCATTTGAGGGAAGATGCTGGGACATGTTCTTTGGTACAGCACCCTCCACTTTGGAAGCATAACAGCATAACATAGCATAACCAAATTCTCACAGAAAATTGCTTGGTAGACGGTTTCATGTCTATCAAATCTACCCTCTGGTTATTTAACATAGCCATGGAAAATGGCCCATTTATAGATGGTTTACCTATTAAAAATGGTGATTTTCCATGGCTATGTTAAATAACCAGAGGGTATTTGCTGCCTTCATGCCGGATCAGGAGGAAAATCATCTGCAAATCGGATACCACAGTGACCAACAAGTCGCCAAAACTGATCCGCACAAGAAAGGCCAGGAGGCCGAAGGAAAATCAAACATTTAACTGGGCCTTATTTTATGCAGTAATTATAAGACTGAAAAGAACAACTGAGTCAATTTGTCTAAGATTCATTCCCCAGCCACGTCGCAATCAGAGCATAATATTCTGAAGGGGCACAACTGCCGTGCAGGATGATTTCTATTGATTTCTGATACCAAGATATACCAAGTCGCTCCCATCTCTACAGGTGTAGGAGAAGAGAACCTCCGTGTCTGTCTTCGGGAACTTTGGATCATGGTTGTCCAATAAGCGGGGGATGCCACGACAAAAAGCTTCGAAGAGCTTGGCGTTCCAATGTTTTCGCTTGCTGAAGGCGATCCTCAGCAGTAGACATCCTACTCATCCTACACCTCACAATGCTGGGGGACGAGCTTCACTCTGATCAGTCTGCATTTCATTTGCATCAAATAAGCAGGTACTATCAGATACTATCCAGTTTGTGCGCCCCCCAAACTCAAGGCAACGCAGGCCCAAGGCAACTTGAATGCAAAGCCCAGAGTCATGCTGTTTTGAAAATTGCGAGGCGCCAAAGACCGCAACCGATTTGGACGATAGAGCTCCTGTCGCAGCGAAGCTCCGTCAACGGTACTGTCGGTTCTGTATCCCCCAGTTCCTCTGGACCCGTCTTGAATTGTCTTTCGGAGGTTGCAAAATCCCATGGAAAAATTGTGTAAACCGGGTGGCCATTGCTTCTTCGTCCTGCAAGACTGTTGCAAGACCGTTGCAACTCATCCTTCATGAGAAGATATCACTGAGAACAAGAACCTTCGAACCATTTCGAACCAAAGGTGCAGTCCTGTGCAGAAAGCTCGAAGTATCTATCATGACGGAACTCCAGCTTTGAGAAGTTCCAAACCATGGTGCCTGCAAAATGATCACAGCATCGATCCATCATGTCACGGGAGAGCCAAGGTGGACACGGTGACCCACTGGTTGGTGGTTGACCTACCCCTCTGAAAAATATTATATAGTCAGTTGGGATATGATTATCCCGTTATCCCCAATATATGGAAAAATAAAAAATGTTCCAAACCACCAACCAGACTATATACAGTTCAAAGCTCCCGGCCTAATGAACAACGATCCATGGTGGGAAGCCAGCCCTTGCAGAAGTGCTCGGCCACAGCTTGCAGCAACTCTTCATGATACACTCCTCATCTTCGCCAGCCGGGCCAATCAAAAATGCTGCCTCAAAGGCTAAGAGAAAACAATCAAACATCTTGGTTTGCAACATCTCATCCATAATCATTGATAATCATGCCACATTCACACACCAAGACTGCTGGTATGCTCACAGCTCTTCCCAGTCCTGCACGAGCATAGGTCCAAACGAAATACGTCAGATTGATGGGATGCATCCGCTCCAACCTTTGGCACAGCAAGCGCGTGCACGCCTCGTGCCGCGCAATGCGAGTTGCAGCGACAGGACCCGGCTATGCTGAAGAACACATCCTATTGAAATGGGCCACTCAATTGGGGACAGAATTGCGAGCTGCCATGAAGTGAATTTTTTTTGCCATCCTAATCCAGATATTCTTTGGGTAAAGCACCTGGCCTCAAAGAACTCATCATCGGCAAAAAGCTGGCGACTTGCCTCAGGCAGTGCATAGATTTGGCATCCATGGTTGTGATCATCTCTTGCTGCTGGAGATCTGCCGCAATCTCCATGGGTCTATATGGTATATTGGTATAATATATATATATATGTGTGTGTGTATAATCCTATGGAATATCTGAGACAGCTGGTTGCCGACCACCCATGACAAATATATCAATGCTACGGGAAAACCAATGGCCACTGGGCCACTGGGCCACTGGTATTCCAGGTGCCTCTGTTGGCCCCCATTGGCAAGTCAACCAGCCCTGCTAGTGCCGCCAAGCTGCTTCTGCGTCAGAGCTGAAAAAACTCTTGGAAGCGCCGGAGTCGCGGTTTCTGTCGTTTGTATCTTTCCCTCCAAAAAACCAGAAGCAACGATACTGGTAGTCGTGCCATGACAGGACCCGCGGCAACCAAGTCTCAAACTCATAGCAAGCTCGCTTTGCCAATTCTTCAGCTGTGAAGCCAAAGTCTTCAGCGTGACCTTCGCGCATGATGGATTTCCTGACGCTGCAACTTGCTGGATGAATATCATGGAATACCATGCTTCCAAGAACTGATGGAAAAAATGAAAGATCAACTGATCAACGCAGCTTGATCTTTAGGTCATCCCCTGGCGCGTGCGCACATTTGTATGTTTTGTACATGAAAAAATCTGAGTCCAGCAAGAAAAGACTGTCAATTGGAGCATCATCCCAAACATCAAGTCACTGGTGTTGAAATTCACCATGACAAAAGCAAACATTATTGGTGATATCCCTGTTGCTGGCGGTGTTTTTTAAATCTGTAACTATGCACAATCATGCGCACACAGATCCAGTTTAAGCCGTTTAACCGTTGTTATTGTTGTTGTCCGTTGGATCTTTGTTGGATGTTGCTGTATGTTGCTGCTGGTATATGCTGGTGTATATATGTGCACATCATGATTCTGCAAAACCATGCGCCGAGCTCAGCGGAGCTTCAGTTCGAAAGGTGTGAAGGTCCAAACAGGGCCTTCCTGAAGCAGGTCGCAGCTCAGGTCGACTGCTGACACGGCAGTGGTTCCCACTGCAGGCTGCTCGTAGCTTGTGATCCTCGGGGCGATGCTGGGCAAAGTACCAAGGTTTTCCAGAAGGTGTTTAGAGGTGGAAGGGATCGGGGTATGTACTAAAATTCTTTTGACCTATAAAGGATCTTAAAAGTGACTATAATTACCCATAGGATCCATGTATGGTATATTGATGGTAAATGTTACCATATATAGCATACATGGATCCTATGAGTTATACACATACAAGATCATAAAAGGCTTTACACTTTACACATGGCACTTAAAATTCTGATCGATCCTGCCTGGAATGTCGATCCAAAAGCCGCCAGGGTCGCCTTTTGGGTTTTTCATAATTTTTCCAGGGGATATTTGTTGAATGGTTTCTGGTTTTTCCGAGGGTTTTTCATATTTTTCATAATTAATTCCCCAGAATGACTCAACAATGGCAACTATGGATGATTTTGATTCTCAATCTTGACTCAAGGACCCATCCCCGGAAGAATCCAGTCACAAAGGCATGTGACTGGAAAATGAGCAAAATCAACCAAGGTTCCCGGTTGATGTGTTGTACCAGTAGGACTCGCAGTTCACTTGTGGATGTGCCATACGCTCGACCCACTCGTCGCCCAAAGAACGGGTATTCCGGGAGTTCCAGTCCCAGTACCCTTGGTATTCCTCTTCCGAACCTCCGTCCAGACCTGTTTTGCTGCTTCGAACATAACACTAACCACTCAAATGTTACTATTATACAGAATATCTTCTATTTGATTTGGTTTTTGTTGGGGTGCCAAACCCGAAATCAAATAAAAGATGGCCTGTAAAATAATAGGGGGAATATATTATATCTTAGTTTCTTGAAATATAGCAACCAGGACTAGTTAGAGTAACCACTGAAAAATTAACAAACGTCAAGAACAAAAACAACACATTGTACAGCATTGTACATATGTAGTCAGGAAGCTCATGGCAGGTAGAGTAACTTGTTGGTCAGGATCTACCTCATCTCCAGAGACAAACAAATAGAAGTCCGCAGTAGCACCAGCAATTCGTCCTCACAGGGATGAATGTCTGTCTTAAGCAACCAGGAATCTGCAAGTTTAAAAAAACATAACCTCATTGTGCTGATTGCTGGAGTTTTGCTGAATATTGTACAACCCCACTCAGGGACAAGTCCCAGGAATGACCTATGGAACCTATCGCTTATAGTGACTAAAGTGCTGTGGACATTGGAATGTTCATCCATGCGCTTTGAAGCTCGCATCTCCAGCTTGGGCATTGGTCGGTATGATAAGTGTATGTAACAAGTAAATTGCACTCATCATGTTCAGTGCCCAGTGCCCAGTCACTTGCATTTACCTTTTTAAAGCTTCCCCAAGCCCCCATGGCAATTGTGTCAGGGTCGTTTAGATTCGTTGAGCGTCCTGACACCGGCAGCAGCTTTGTCCGGTTGCCAGAAGTGCCATAGCCACTGGGCTTCTCTCGGAATGCAGCTGAAATCCAGGTGCGTCGCCCGTGTCCCTCAGGCGCCGGCTCGGCTTTCCCTTTCTTTCGCTTGTAATAGGATGACACCTGACCTGCACAATGTTGTGGGCTTGTGGAAAGGGAAAGCATGGGGTCCCAGGAGCACTAAGATGCACTCTCTCTCCATCGCTAAGATGCACTAGCCCAAAGCATCCCGAAGCGTATAACGCACAGAATCAAACAAGTGACAGTTTTGCAAGTTGATTGTCGTTTTCACCATGTTCAAGCAATTGGACCATTTGGAGAAGAGCAAATCAAACCATCACCAAATGGAGCCGATCACCGGCCGCACCAACCAACCAACCACCCGCATCATCCTGGTGATGTCCCCCATTTTCCTGTCGTGCCGCCCCTGGCCTGACCCATCTCCATCTGACAAATAGATCTGGTCCACGTCATCCAATCCTGCAAGAATCTGACCTATAGTATAGCTGTTCCCGCAATATACCCAGAGACTTGTAGAACATCTGCATTTCGGCTACAGTAATGTGGGGCCATGCAAGTTCTACCCTTCCTTTGGTGAGTTTGCTCTCGCAAGCATCTTCTCTTCTCCAAGCACTCTGGTTTGGGTTCCCAGGTCAACAGCAAACTAGCTGGTCTGGTAGGTCCTAAGTTGCTGACAATTCATGATATATTCATGTATCTTATGTTTGGACATAGCCTGCAACCGAAATAGTCACACATCATATGTGTCGGGTTATTGGTCATCCAATTTGATGCATCAAATTGTTGTCGTCTTTCCGGTGACATTGCCAAGACGTGGGATATCATTCTCGCGGAAACAATCAAACATGATGATCATGATGTGCCGGATCAATGTAGATGTTGCCACAGGTAAGTAAGCATAGCATATCATAGCATCAATCCACAGCAATTCCCAGTCTCCTGTGCATGTAGTTTTCGCAGCTGTTTGCAGCATGGGGGAACATCCAGGTCACGCCGCCCACGGCTGATGCGCATTGGTTCAGCAGAACATCCACAAACCGTTTGCTGAATCAAACCTGCAAAGGTTGATTTTATACATTTTTATACATATATTTATAGTTAATTATAATGTATTATAATTAATATAATGTTCTTATTAACTTTGCTCACCTCTGGCTGGAGATATTCTGCTGCACACTTCCGCAGTTCCAGGGGCTTCTGAGCTGATTATTTCATGGCATGATCTTTAATATGCCATTTTTCTGTGAGCTTCGGAAGCCACAGTGGCTGCAGATCTATGGATCCCTCGAAATCCGTGCATCCTTGAAACGCCACCCATTTTTAGTTCCAATGATCATCTCAGGCGACCCATGAAACCCGACAAAAAAAATACAAAAAAGGGAACAGCTTTTCAAGATACTTTAAGTCCAATCATTATCCCATAGGATCCATGTATGCTATATATGGTAACATTTACCATCAATATGCCCCCAATGTTAGCATATATACCATACATGGATCCTATGGGTTATGGATGAATCTTAGCTACGGAATGGTCCATTTCCATCATGTGTGGCCTTGAACTCCCTCCTGGGCTCTCCTGGCAAACATGCGCCACGGCCGCCACCACAAAGCACCGCAGGGCTCCCAAAGTGAAGGGACCAGTGAAGAGGCAAGCGCTGCCCCAAATCACCTGCCCCAAATCCCTGGGAGCTTGAGGAAAATATCGACAGCAATTTTATGGTGGACCGGCATCCAGAAACACACGCAGATCTGCAGACCTATCGAATCTATGGATCTTCCCATGCAGGAGTCCTGCCTGGTGTATAGCTGTGGCAGCATAACCAACCTCATCCAGCCGGACACCAGCCACGGGTTGGCACCAAACACCTTTCTACGGGTTCATAATTGGCCAACCAAACCTTGACCCATTCGACCCTCACAACATCCTTTACAACATGTCAGGGAGAAAAAAATGCAGTCATCTCAATCGCAGTTTGGTTTCTGCCTCTAATTCAACACTGAGCTTGCGACTGCCAGCAGAGTCAGCAACCAAGTTCGACCCTTTTCCGCACGAACTGAGAACTTAAACTTTGGGAGGCCGTGCTGGATCAATGTTCCTCGAGATGGGTAGTTGGGACTGGACCGGTAGTGTTACTTTGTTAGGATCAAAATGGAAAGGACAACCCCTAAGCCTAGGTATGAATAGCAGTTGTAACGGGAAACCAGCATTTTGATATATTTTGAGGAAGGAAGGTCTTATATAATATAAGTGGACCCACTTGATTTACCCAAGGCAAACAACCCACCTTCGAATGCAACTTCGGTGCCGATGCATCCGAATGAATTCCCGCAGCAAACCCAGTTTTTCTTGCCAGACTTGGACTGAAAGAATCATACTATATCAAACGGACCGCTCTTGGTGCTTCAATGGATAAATACCAACATATCATCAAATATCATCAAATAATCATCAACATATCATCAAATATCATCAAATATCATCAAATATCATCAAATATCATCAAATATCATCAAATATCATCAAATATCATCAAATATCAATGGTATCAATGGTTAATGGGCATTGGCGGCCATTGCATGTCATTGCCTTTGTTTTCCACCAGTTGCCGTCTCAGAATGCGACCATATCCACCCTGGAAGCCGTACCATGCCACAAATGCCAGTGGCACCTGTCAGCGGGTCTCAAGCTATGTTGAATCAGTTCAAACCCGCAGGGCGCTATGAGAAGTGTATAGTATATCATATATTATATGTATATAGTGTAATATGTGTATATATATATATATGAAACAATGTATATGATTGTCCATTTGCAATCACCTACATACAGTATATTTCTTTACTTCTGTATAGTATTAGTCATCCAAGATTCCAACAGTTTCCAACATGGAAATCCAGACTTGCGGGTGACTCACCAGTCACACCGCCCGACTGTCACAGGGTTCTGTGGAAAATTTTGCTTGCAATGGCCCAGCAGGTTTGTTACACATTGATTTGTTGACAAATCATCACTCCCAAAACCATGCTGCTGTGGAGCTCAGTCTTCGACAGGGCGTCCGTCAACGATGGCCATGTGTTTTTGAATTCTTGATTGAATTGCTGGAGTGGTACCCTATTTTGAACCTTATCTGCCCTAGCACAGTCATGCTCAAGATATCAACGCTGTCGCCGGTGACGGGGACCTGTGCCTATGCTGGCATCCCCTTGGTTTTTGTCATAGTTGTCTCGCAGAATGTCCCATCACACTTATCGGATCACTTGCAAAAAGGACTTGAACTATTGAGGATATTGCGGTATGAATAGCTCGCAAAATTGCAGGTCTTGGAGGAAATAACTAACTCAATCTCACCTATATAGAAAGATAGGCCCACGACACATGCCCAATTCCGCATATCTCCGACCTGGGCCAGAAGGAAAGCTTCAGTTTCCAGCCTTAGCAGCCAGGCGCTCCTAGATGCGGGCCCTGCATCGGGGCCCCCATCGCCCCGGTGGCCTATATGCATGGTATATCTATCATGATCTCCCCTCTGGTAATTTAACATATAGCTATGGAAAAGGCTCCATTTATTGATGATTTACAATTGATTTACCTTATATCTGTGTACATCTGTGTACCTATATCTATCATGGATCCATTCTAATCATTTCAAAACATGTCAAGTTCCTTAAAGAAATGTTGCTCGCTTTAACCACTTCTTGGCTAAGCTCTCCACGGAACCGGCCTCTCACCCAGCCTCAGAGGAGGCTGACTCTGCTGCTAAGGTCGACCAACACTGGGGGTACAGCTTGAAACTTTGGACTCATTGGCTCGTTGGATTTCAAGAATGCCAGATAGATTGTCAGATGAGATGCTTCTAACACCTTGAGCACATGTACAAATGGAGATGAATCAGCAGTTGGGATCCCAGCAGGCGCACCAGCACACCTTGGAGATGCAAACCATGAGTTGTGCAACTCAATGGGAATCTCAAACATATGGGTATGGGTCAATACCTATACATACCATTTTTAGGGGGATGAACATCCATTTACCAGCTATTTTGATGTTCACCAGGGGGATAGGGTTTTGACACACTGCCATATCAAAACTGTACCAGTAGGACAAATCATGACAAATCAATATGCAGAAATGACACGTAACGACAAGATTGCAAAATTGGTGGCTCAACATCATTCAACATCAATTCCAACTACGACAAATCCTGCCTTTTTTAAGATCCACTCTCCGTACCCTTCCTGCGACCGAAGCACTCACATCCATGATGGCTTTCAACAGAAAGAGAGTGCTGGCGCCCAGAACTGCCAAGCCAAGCATCCTCAGGGGATGAATCCCATTGAAACTCTATTTCCTGCAAGGGTAGCACTGGGTTCACTGGGTTTGGAACCTGAAAGTCCCACCGTTCAAGCGGTCCCGTCCAGCGGCACTGCGCAACACGCTGCAAGACACCTGGTCAACTTTTCATGGGGCACCAGGGATTTTGCACAATTTTAGCACCACCCAACTTCCAAGATTTGGTGTTTGCTGCAGGAACCAAGAAACAGGGGCTATGCAGTTCTGCCTGCAAGGTTGCAGTCAAACCATGTCAAACCCCAGGCAGAAAGACCAACATCCCTGCTTTAACTTGCCTGTTGTCCTTGAACCTTTCAAACAGGCAAGCTTTACAGCCGTCATAATCAATGGAGCCTGAGTGCAGCCCGCTCAGACCGCCGAGGGATTCAGTGGGTGCGGCTGGTGACAGGGAAAAACACTAAACACGGAAAGCAAATTTGGTGTTGATAATTACAAAATATTAATTACAAACATCCATGACAAAATAAAAAGATGCGCGTGTATTCACTTGGTGTCGCGCCAAAGAAAGTGCAACATGCATCCAGGTGCTGTCGTTTCCTGTAATTTGAGTACCACACCACGGTAAAATCCGCAAAGCGTGCGGTGGCCACCATGCGCCCAACCTGACGCTTCAATGTGCTGGCTAAAGCATGCAAACTTCGTGGCATGGCACTGCCAACCTACTTCCCCATGCCATGGCTAGCTGAAGTTATGCAGCATGACCTCCGCGTACTAATCGCTTCTTAAGCAGCCGCAACTCGCTTACACTGCCTGGTGTGAGACTGACCCCTGCCCTACAACATCCCTGCATCTGAGTTGACAGTCTGGCGGTTGCCTGGAAAGCGCTCCATGTACCGTAGCCCCATGCAGCTCTTCCCCAATTCGTCTGGCGTCAAAGTGGCGATATGGTGACTTGAGGCCAGGGGGTAGGTACGAAAGCTAGCAGGACTCTATACTAATGTTGTACCGGAGACTGCGCAGCTGCGAGGGTAAACTGATAAAAATTGATAAAACTTATGACGATGATGGTGGGTAGGAATGAACTTGATGATAATGCTGATGACGATGAAGATGACGATGAAGATGAAGATGAAGATGATGATGATGATGACGACTATGACGACGATGACGATGATGACGACGATGACGACGACGACGGCGACGACAACAATGATGATGAGAATGCTCGAGAGGAAGATGAAAATTAAGAAGGCAAAGATAAAGACGTAGAGTAGAAACCTGTACCAGCCCCAAAATCACCGGATGATGGTGATGCAAATGCTGACGATGAAATGCTGAAATGAATTATTGAGATTATGACAACCCATGGTCCAGGGGCAGGTACAGGGGGCCATCTAAGTAGGATCGAGGGGTCAGGGGGCAGGTACGGGCAACATCCAAGAAGGGTTGAGGGGTCCAGGGGGGACCAGAGAGGGGGATTGAATCCGGGCCGGCCAGGGGGTGGGGGGAGGGCAAGCTAGCTTTCGTAATGAGCTCAAGAGACCCATGAGACTCTTCAGGAACCGAAGGGAACCTGATTCCGAACTGATGGGATGATCGCCTACCGCATCTCATGGCTGAAAGGACTCCCCTCGGGGATAATCAACCACAAACGTGAGCTGCAAGCGGGTCATTGTGATTATATAATGAGGGGCAACTTGGCAACTGGGGTCATGTCATTCTTCCGTTTCAACAATTTTCAACACCTGTGCCCATCACCGCCCCGACCTTCACCGTGGCAGCATAACCTGGTCATGTTGAGCTACAGCGAGGTGCCCCGAATCTCAGAAGAACATGCATGCAGGAGCCACATACATAGTGTTATAGGCAGTTATAGGGTCAAAATATATGTCACATGAGGCATCATGAGGCATCCTCATATACTTCACATTTTGCTTGGTTTTGGTCGAAATACGATTCACAGCCACGGCCTTCACCTTTGTTGGCAACCAAGGTGGACGGTCGTAACGACGGATATCCACCATCTGGGCCATGGCCGGAGCCAGAGATCACGCGATCTTGACGGTGATGATGAACTTTTCATCAAGTTAGAATAATGATATGACAATGGATGTAACAAGATTAAAAATATAGAATATACACAATGAATAACTACATTGATACTACATGGTACTACCACATTCTAATATACTATAGATATACCACATTGATACTACATGGTACTACCATATTCTAATATACCATAGATATACCACATTGATACTACATGGTACTACCACATTCTAATATACTATAGATATACCACATTGGTACTACATGGTACTACCACATTCTAATATACTATAGATATACCACATTGGTACTACATGGTACTACCATATTCTAATATACTATAGTACTATAGATAATGAGTGGATGTGCAACACGGCTCGCGAAATCGGAGCAGCCACTCAGCCACTCTGCCAGAGTGGCTGGACCAGCCACTCAGCCACTCAGCCACTCTGGCAGAGTGGCTGGAGCAGCCACTCAGCCACTCAGCCACTCTGGCAGAGCGGCTGGACCAGCCACTCAGCCACTCAGCCACTCTGAGTGACTGAGTGGCTGCTCCAGCCACTCTGGCAGAGCGGCTGAGTGGCTGAGTGGCTGCACCAAGCCACTCTGGCAGAATGTCTCAGTGGGTGAATAGCTAGTGCAGCTTAGCCAATGGAGACTAAGCAGTATTACCCAGACCTAATTTTTCTTAGGTCTGGGTAATTTTTTAAGTGAGGTGTGAAGCTAATTTATTGTTTCTTCCTTTCTCTTGTAGGGAACGGGGGCATATATTCTTATGGATTGAATGGAATTTTATGCAAACATTTGTGTTAAAGGGTTGTGAGAAAGAAGTCATGTGCAACTTAGCCAATAGAGTGTAAGCAGTATTATCCAGACCTAATTTTTCTTAGGTCTGGGTAGTTTTTTGAGTGAGCTTTGAAGCTAATTTAGGGTTTCTTCCTTTATCTTGTAGGGAACGGGGGTATATATTCTTATGGATTGAATGGAATTTTATGCAAGCATTTGTGTTAAAGGGTTGTGAGAAAGAAGTCATGTGCAACTTAGCCAATAGAGTGTAAGCAGTATTACCCAGACCTAATTTTTCTTAGGTCTGGGTAATTTTTTAAGTGAGGTTTGAAGCTAATTTAGAGTTTCTTCCTTTATCTTGTAGGGAACGGGGGCATATATTCTTATGGATTGAATGGAATTTTATGCAAACATTTGTGTTAAAGGGTTGTGAGAAAGAAGTCATGTGCAGCTTAGCTAATAAAGTGTAAGCAGTATTACCCAGACTTAATTTTGCTTAGGTCTGGGTATTTTTTTAAGTGCGGTTTGAAGCTAATTTAGGGTTTTTTCCTTTATCTTGTAGGGAACGGGGGCATATATTCTTATGGATTGAATGGAATTTTATGCAAACATTTGTGTTAAAGGGTTGTGAGAAAGAAGTCATGTGCAGCTTAGCCAATGGAGACTAAGCAGCATTACCCAGACCTAACTGTTCTTAGGTCTGGGTAGTTTTTTGAGTGAGGTTTTATGTTAATTTAGGGTTTCTTCCTTTATCTTGTAGGGAACGGGGGCATATATTCTTATGGATTGAATGGAATTTTATGCAAACATCTGTGTTAAAGGGTTGTAAGAAAAAAATTATTAGTCACTTGTGTTAAAGGGGTTCGCTCTGTGGGTCTCTGCGGATCATTATAGCGAAAGGAAGGATACATTTGAGTATAGTTTTAATCTTTTTTATATATGCATGTTTTTATATATATACATATATATGAATATATTATTACTTCTCTATCGCTTTGAACAGTTATGGTCACTTCATTGTGTGCTATGGATTGTTATTACATGGTCGAGCTAGTTTAACAATTTGTGTACAAAATGGTGAGGGTCTATGTTGCAAATTTGATGCAAATTGTTAGTGGTTAGTGTCATTACCGGGCACACCTCTTCAGCTGGTAATTGTTGAATCAAAAAAACAATCGGGATGCATTCAGCTTTAGAATTAAGAAAAGAATCGAAAGTATCTTCGCTTCCATCGTTCCCTCTCTTTCTGGGGGACTTTCGTTTATCTGACGGCTGACCTTCGACTTAATACTTTGCCAGAAAACTACTAGCAAATAAATTCACATGCGATATGTTTTGCAAAAAGGTTGATAGATCTTTGAACCAATGGGAACGATTTATAGTTGGGTTTACCATATCATATTTTATGGATTTTGGCTTTAGTAACTTGGCGTAGATTCGAAGCGTATCGACCTTGTTGCCATCTCCTGCTCAACCCCAAATCTCCTTAGTGAATTTGGATGAACAATTCAAAGATGCCGTTTTGCACTGATTTTTTTGAAGATCAAATGTTGACGGCTGCAGTATGCATGGAACAGCTGCGATCTAGGGGATACAGTACCATTGGCCAACAGTAGCAATGTTGAGGCTGGTTCTTGGCAGTTTCGGACTGGTGGTGTAGAACACATTTCAAGAACATAAGCAATTCACAAACAATGCCAAATAGCTTCTGGTGCTTGCATAACGGACTTAGGAACTATTGTTAATCCGTTCCCACCAGGTGCTGCCGTACACAGCGCTGAAGACAGCAGCGCGTCCGGCATGCAATGACGGACGAAAGGATAAAAGTAAAAGTAGTGGTGTTCTCAACAAATGAATTCCTTGTGCAAAGCATTGTCGGCATCACATTGACCGAAAGATCAATTATGATGATTTTGTGTTCAACGTGTATACGTATGGATATATTTATTTGCATTGGCCAAAACTATTGACAAGAAAATGGTAGAGTTCGAATGTAGTTTGGTTCATAGCGTGTTGAAACACTACATACAAATAACTAACATTATCGCGAAACCGAGCCAGCAAAGAATATAAATTCAGATGCAATGTGTGCAGAGATTTTTTTTACGGGGCTTAAGTTACGTATGTATCGAAAAAACTTTTCCATACAGCTACAGTAATCTGCTACCAGTGAAGGAAGTTTGTTAATTATCCATCCTGGCCACTCAGCCACTCAGCCACTCTAACAGAGTGGCTGGACCAGCCACTCAGCCACTCTGCCAGAGCGGCTGAACCAGCCACTCAGCCACTCTGCCAGAGTGGCTGGACCAGCCACTCAGCCACTCAGCCACTCTCCCAAAGTGGCTGGACCAGCCACTCAGCCACTCAGCGAGTGGCCACTCTGCCAGAGGGCTGAACCAGCCACTCAGCCACTCAGCCACTCTGCCAGAGTGGCTGGACCAGCCACTCAGCCACTCAGCCACTCTCCCAGAGTGGCTGGACCAGCCACTCAGCCACTCAGCCACTCCAGCCACTCAGCCACTCAGCCACTGTGCCAGAGTGGCTGGACGAGCCACTCAGCCACTCAGCCACTTTGTGAGAGTGGCTGGACCAGCCACTCAGCCACTTTGTGAGAGTGGCTGGTCCAGCCACTCTGGCAGAGTGGCTGAGTGGCTGGGGTGATAATTTCCGCCATTGCGCGTTCAATCGATAGATCACATTGATACTATATGGTGCTACCATATTCTAATATACTATAGAATGATATTGAATGGTTGAAAGATGTTCAATCACCCTACCACCGACCATGTGTCATCTGTGCTGGGTTCCGGGCCTGAGAAAAAATCTTCTGCGGCAACCTGTTGCCTGACAAATCCACCATCCCCTCGCAATACGATGTGGGTTGTCCCCGTACTACAGGGAAGTACAATAGGATTCAATATTATTTAATCAGATTTATATAACAATTCAATACAATTAAGATACACTACTTTATCAGCTACAATGAAACAAATGACATTTGTTTAGCATTTCATAAAGCTCACTTGCACCGGCTTGATAACTCAGACTTGCATAGACTTGCCAGATTCATTGAAGTCTTGAGTAGCCAAGCTAATTGAGGCTGGTATAGGCTGGTCGGAGGTCTCAGCAGCTCTCAACAACGGGAACGCAGCCACCGGGATAGCATGGCTATGGAATGAGAAAGCACCAATCGTTTAACATCTCCGCCCGGCCCGGCCGCATCCCAAAGCAACAACACTTGGCCACTTCTGCCTGTAGCCTCTTCCAACATGTTGCCGGCCTTCCACACTGCAGCAAAGAAGACGAGCTCAATCGATCTTAAATTCTTAACCTGTCATAACCTGTCGATCTTAACAGGTCAATTTCCTTACCAAAGTTTTGACCCATCTCTTTCAGCTGAGAGCGTAGGCCAACAAGCCGACATAAGCCGACTCCACAGGGAACTCGTGGAAATGCCACACCTCCGGTAAAAATGGTGCTTTGAGCTGGAGAAATAGGCCTCGGTCACAAGTGGAATGAAACAACTCTCAGCCCCAGCAGTGGCCTTGAAATCATGGGCTTCCCCTGGAAAAAACAGCCCTTCCCATTCGGAAGCGAGGCCCAAGCCGGGCAAAGCTTAATGGACTTCGGCTCTGCCAGCCGAGCAAAAGCACTAAAAGCCTCAGGTTTCTGCCCGACTGAGCAACCCATGGCAGACCGGAAACAAAGTTGACCCAGCTCAGTTCATCTCAGTTCCCAGCCAGCAAAATCTGAAACTGGCACAGGACACAGGCTAAAGCCGCTCGACAAACGTAGCAGTTTGGTTGGAAACAAAATGTCAGTGCCAAAAAACATGTGGTCCACATTGGTCCGCAGTGTATGATGGCCGGGAAGAGGATGGAAAAGGAAGGTCACAACTCAGCACAGTTCCTCAACCAGCCTGGAGCGTTTCATGGAAGACTGGGGCATGGTGCCATGATCGCCCATGGGTATGCACGCAGCCGTCTCTTGTGGCACTTGCACTTGCAGATTTTCTGCTCTGAAGTGGACACCACTTGGGATGTTTCAAAACAAATAAGTATAGTGAAACTGATTCAACTGATCCAAATCGTTTTCAACAGGTGAAAAGAGGTCGGGAATTTGTGCCCACTTTTCTTGGTGGCCATTAGCCTGCCCGAGCCACTTTACTTTCCGAGCCAATATGCCATATGCCATCACCCAACCTGGTCTCAACTGGCATCAACCATGATCTCGCTGTAGTTCTTAGCCAGAACGGCAAGTATAAAATTATATTCTCTGCTGGATGTTGCACGCTTCGCACTCATTTCTCCGCCATGTGCCGTTTTGGATCCGGCTGGGCAACAGGTTTGATTGCATTTACATAACTATCATAACTCAAGCCACAGCTGATTCCGTGTGGCATGTGGCCACATTGTGTTTTGGATGTCACCGAAACATGTGGCCGAAACGGGTGAACCAAATCAAACCTGCAGCACATCAGTTGACTATCCTCAGTTTGCGCAGACCCTGTATCGGATGCCATTCATGCCGACACTGCGCATTCTTTTCCGCCAGACAACAAGCGCGAGATGAAGGGATGCATACATCCACAGCCAGCCATCACCGTGACACTGTCGTTGGTTGAGTGAATCAAATGCTTTCATGGTCATGGGACATGACTGGTCAGCCACACGCTGGAAACTGTTGGCATCGTCAGTATTTTCGACTGATCAGCATTTTGTTTCCTTTGGTTCTTATTCTCGATTTGCAGGGCGTACTATACCCCAATAGGTCAACAATACATAATGTTGCATAGAATTCTGTTGATCTAGTTATTCTACAAGTTTGATTAATTGCGGATGTAGCTGGCCATGTTCATTTTCACATATGTTCACCCACATCTTTGCACTTTCGCTGTCGGCTTCGGGCGAAGCCGAGCTCCTGAGCTCCGACTCTGTGAAACAACAGCGCTGCTTGGTCGACGGAGCACGAGCTCCCGAAAGGATGCCTAACTCATGGACTTAGGTGGTTGAGGCAGTTGAGGCAGTAATGTAATGTCAGTTAAGATCATCCCTACAAGTAATCTAGGCTAATTACTAGGGGCCGGTCAAAGAGGTCAAAAAATGATGTACAGCAACTCCCAGAAATTACAGATTGGTGGGGGGTCAAGAAGATTTAAGATCATCATGCGATCCTTGTGGTGGAAAGGAGTGTTATGGAATGGTTTGACTCTGGATGAATGACAACAAGATGCATCGGTTTGTCCGCCTGTTTGAAACCACTAACCAAATACTGAGATTGAATGTGAACTTTCATAGGGCCTAGGGCAATCCTTTTGCCTAATATGAAGTACTCCTCAGAAGGGACCCCTAAGTAAAAGCGAATGTGTATGTAGCTCCTTTGTCGTGAAACTAAATCATCTTGTACAACAATAATTTGAAGAGGGGAATAGAGCTTAATATATTTTCACTCCCAATGTTTGATGCAAACGGTGTTGTTCATGCCCCTCAAGGTAGTAAAGGCTGCAGCTATGTCCATGAGTCTGGCCTCTACAATTCCACTGTAAAACTGGTTCCACTTGACTGTGCCAACTGTGGTGCAAAACGGCTTTTGATCTAATTAAGCTATATCAATCTATATACCCTCTGGTTATTTAACATAGCCATGGAAAATCACCAGTTTTAAGAGGTAAACCTCTATAAATGCGCTATTTCCCATGGCTATGTTAGTCATAACCAGAGGGTATATTAATCTAATATTTGGTCGAAACAAATGCGAGTGCATCGGACCGGAGAATCTCACATCTGTTGATTTGGCCCCTGAATGCACTTGATTCATATCGGTTGGTGACCATGCATCTACAGTGACAGCTGACACATGCCCTAATCACTAATCCTACTTCCGCATGGCTCCACTCTGTCTATTGAAGTCACGTCTAAGTCGTGCCTATGCGGCATAGCATGACTGCCAGGCCTTCATTTTCATTGATGTCAACATCCTTTTCATGACAATACAATAATCATATGGTCAGTGAAACAGTCAAATCTTCATTTTCTCAATGGCCGTTTTGCTGGAGACTGTACAGGTGTCAGAAAGGACCGAGCATCTGCCAAGTAAGGTGCCCCAATGAGCAACGGCCCAGCAGGGGGGCTGTGAGCGGGTTGAACCTAGGCTGTCCAGGGGGCGCGCAGTGGGCTGCATGTGGAAACGCATAGCCAGTGTACTTGCCATGATCATGATACCGCAAATCACCTCAATATATCAAGTTTCCGCAAGGAACATCACAGGAACATCATGTAAGCTATGTAAGGTGATATGATGTGCGGAAGGGTCATCACCATTTTGCCATGTCACGTGGCGCCAGTTGGGTTAGATGAGATCTGCCACGGATCCACTCAGAAAACTGAAGACCAGCTTGAGGTTCTCGTGAGGCAAAGCCTGGACTGTTTAAGGCTCATCCATCCTGATCGTGGTATATCCATGTACCCTCTGGTAATTTAACATAGCTATTGAAAATGGCCATTTATAGTGGATTTTCCCATTGAAAATGGTGATTTTCCATAGTTTTTTGTTTACCAGAGGGTATATCCTGGTATCTGATGATTATTCCTGGCAGTGAAAACTGCCAAAGAAAACTCCATGGCATCATCATGGGTCTGTTTAATGGCTTGCTCTCTTGGACTTCTGGCACCTCACTATGAGGGTAATCATGGTATCCCTGCCACTTTTCTGTGCGGCTGGTATCTTTTGGTTCGCAACCGTGAAGTCTCCTCTCGATACAACATATACAAAACATGCACGCCTATGCCAAACTGAAACTACCTTGAATACGTTGGTTGCCGTTTGTTCTTTCCACCTCCTTCACTCCTTGCACTCGGCTCCAAGCCACGCTAATACCTCGAACAGTCTGCCGCACCAGGCGGGTGAGCCCAGTCTGAAGTCGCAACAAGATCTGCCGCGGCTGGTTGTCGTCGCCCAGGTGCCCGCCGTCGACCCAGAGTTCTTCCCCGACAGCGCAACGAGAAACCCATCCAGCAGCATTGCCGCGCCACAGACCCTGAGGGACCACTGGCGCCGTCTTCCATTCGCGGCGCTCAAGATCGAACCTGAGAGGCCCGGAGGTGGATCACCTAAATCCAAGTGTCGACTTTTTTTGGCTGGCAATTGAGGTAAACAAAACATCAGTGTTGCATGTTTATTAGCATCTATATTGTATAATATATATATATATATATACGATATTATATGATATAACCTAATACGATCTAAACATTATATATATTAAATTATATATTGTACATATACATATATACACACATATATATATATATATATAGATAATTATAAATATATCGATATAGATATATACAAGTAGTATGTGTGTGTGTGTTTCTGCATGTTAGCTTCCGGTTTCTGGACACATCTTTATCCAAAGCACACATAGAGGCCATATCTTTTTGGCGCTGCGTTGCCTCTGGCTGCACCCAATACCAGGAGCTTCATCTGGTGCAGGGCCAAGATACTTCGGCAAGACTTCACCTCGTGGCTGCGAGACCATCATGCAGGTTCACCTACCAGATCGGATTTCCCAACCTTGGTCAGTGATGTTTTGCCTCGGGAAAAGGACCACATCAATCCATATTCATAGCAAACACAAGCGAATAATGGGGTGCTGCAATACATCCCACCCGATCATCATCCACTACCATTATCAATCATTATCCATCATCTTCAGGTCTTCTATCCCATTCTATCAGTTGTCAAATGGCCATCATTTCCCATCCCTCATCACTTCCCCCATCCCCACCCGGAAGTGCTGCTCCCTCAGCCCCAACTCCACTGGTGGCGCTGTTCCACAGACTGGGCGGAGTTCCTGCCAGCTGAAGTGACGAAGGTCGAGGCTCCAAACGTCGTTGAACTGCCTGTGACTGGGAGATGGGTGGGTGGCGGATAGACCCCCCCGTTGAAGATATTTGAAGATGAAGCATACTCTCAAAATGAACAATCCGCATACACCATGTCTATATGCGATAATCATCGACAATTTATATAATCCATTTCATCACCAAGTGCCACTTGCCAGTGGGTCTTCAACCTCTGCACTTGGAGAACTGGGTCTTGCAACCTTCCATGAAACATTGAAGACTGGACCGTGCTGTGAAGGCGCCTAGTAGCATTGGCACCACCATAGACCACCATTTGATCTCCTTGAACGAAGCTCGGGAGATTCGGTGCCAGACTAGGGGAGCGTGACGGTGTTAGTAGGGCAGTTTAAAGGGCCTGGGGGATGGCAAACTTGTCCCAAAAACCAATGCGATCATGGGATCATCTTCCATGAAGAAAGGCTGCCAACACCTATGAAACCTACCAAGAATGCGCATGTTGTTGTCTCAAGTTTTGGAACATTTTGGAACTTCAAAATCCATCATACATCATGTTCCTCACTAAATGAGTGGACAAACCCATTTGTGCCTCCATGAAACCGTGGCATTCCAAGGTGGTTGCAACCCATTGGAAAGAGGGTGTCTTCCAGCCAAAGAATTGGGTTTGATGACGTTGATGGCAGTTAAGCAACCGCAAGTATCTGGTTATAGTATTAGTTATAGTATCTTATAGTCATTGCAACTCCCATAAAACATATTATACTCTAAATCATTCGGGATCATTCTGCCAGGGCAAACATATTTGTGGAAGCAACAGCCTGGCAGCCAGGAATGGATCGTCCTTTCAAAAACAGCCCCTGCCCGTCGCATTGGTGCAGGACAGTGTCCTACTAAAACAGCACAATGCTGTGCCCTGGCTGCAGGCGCTATGCCTTTCACAGGCACCGGCACCCAGCCTGGGAGATGGCCATTGGGAATCAGGGCCGATACATCGCTGGAGGCAAAATATATCAAATCGTACTGGATATGTTACATTATGTTATAATATATATATATATATGTGGGGGTTGTCCTAAATTACTGTTCCCACAAAGGCCTCTTGGGCCGAGCTTGCGCCAACCTTGCGCGTTTCTTGCGCGACCACACGCCCGGATCACTTTCATCATTTCAGTTGTTTTTCATCATTATTCTCGTACTTGTTTTCGAATGTTAAATATTTAGTATTCACTTAGTATTTCGTACTGGGAAGTAGTTTGTGCAAGCTTTGTAGTACACAGTAGTACTGGGAAGTAGTTTGTGCAAGCTTTGTAGTACACAGTAGTACTGGGAAGTAGTTTGTGCAAGCCTTGTAGTACAAAGTAGTACTGGGAAGTGCTTTGTGCAAGCTTTGTAGTACACAGTAGTACTGGGAAGTGCTTTGTGCAAGCTTTGTAGTACAAGTAGTACTGGGAAGTAGTTGTTGCAAGCTTTGTAGTACACAGTAGTACTGGGAAGCTTTGCAAGCCTTGTAGTACAAAGTAGTACTGGGAAGTGCTTTGTGCAAGCTTTGTAGTACACAGTAGTACTGGGAAGTAGTTTGTGCGAGCTTTGTAGTACACAGTAGTACTGCGAACGACTTTGTGCAAGCTTTGTGTACACAGTAGTACTGGGAACGACTTTGTGCAAGCTTTGTAGTACACAGTAGTACTGGGAACGATTTTGTGCAAGCTTTGTAGTACACAGTAGTACTGGGAAGTGCTTTGTGCAAGCTTTGTAGTACACAGTAGTACTGGGAAGTAGTACTGGGAAGTAGCTCTGCACGGGTTGAACTTCTGTGGTTTCAGAGCGGTTTCAGAGTGGTTTCAGACCCCTTCGGGGTGTCTAGCTGACCTTGATGAAAAGAACAATTTACAGACAGAAAAGACTTGAACACAACATACAAGGAAATACATTTAAAGAGCAGACAGATAGATAGATAGATAGATAGATAGATAGATAGATAGATAGATAGAGATAAAGCAGCCAACGCGGTCCGGAAGACATGCAGCAGCAGCCCGGAGATGGTGAGCAGGAAGGTGTTTCAGAGTGGTTTCAGACCTCTTTTGGGCTTGTTTTTTGGGTACCCCCAGCTTTGGGAGATGAAAAAGAAAGAGAAAAGGTAGAGAAAGAGAGAGAGAGAGACAGAGAGAGGAAGAGGGAAAGAGAGAGAGAGAGATAGAGAGAGATAGAGAGAGAGAGGAAGATGGAAGATGGAGACAAACAGAAGGCGAGAGAGAGAGAGAGAGAGGAAGAGGGAGAGGAGAGAGAGAGAGAGAGAGCGTTGTAAATGGTGAGCAGCAGGGAGTTTCAAAGTGGTTTCAGACCTCTTTTTGTCCGTAGGCTACCTCAGCTTTGGAGAAAAAACAGGAAAGAACGGGAAAAGAAAGAAGAGAAGGGAGAAAGAGACAGAGAGAAAGAAGAAGTCTTGAGACGGGGAGCAGGAAGATGTGTCGAACTGGTTTCAGACCTCTTTTGGGGCCGGTTATGGGGCTACCTAGTTCTTAAGACATCCAAAAGAAGGGGCTCAAAACAGATTGTACTTGAAACACATGCGGTCCGGAAAGACGTGCAACGGTCCGGAAAAGCAAGCACCCAAAACGTACTCTAATCGTAGCGATTGCGGTCCGGAAAGGCATGCAGCGGTCCGGAAAAGCGAGCACTCAAAACGCACTCTAATTGTAGACATTGCGGCCCGGAAAGACATGCAGCGGTCCGGAAAAGCAAGCACCCATTACTCTAATTGTAGACATTGCGGCCCGGAAAGCCATGCAGCGGTCCGGAAAAGCAAGCGCCCAAAACGTACTCTAATTGTAGATATCGCGGTCCGGAAAGACCTGCAGCGGTCCGGAAAAGCAAGCACCCAAAACGTACTCTAATTGTAGCCATTGTGGTCCGGAAAGACCTGCAGCGGTCCGGAAAAGCAAGCACCCAAAACGTACTCTAATTGTAGCCATTGTGGTCCGGAAAGACCTGTAGCGGTCCGGAAAAGGAAGCACCCAAAACGTACTCTAATTGTAGACATTATGGTCCGGAAAGACATGCAGCGGTCCGGAAAAGCAAGGACTCAAAACGTACTCTAATTGTAGCCATTGTGGTCCGGAAAGACCTGTAGCGGTCCGGAAAAGCAAGCACCCAAAAAGTACTCTAATTGTAGATATCGCGGTCCGGAAAGACGTGCAGCGGTCCGGAAAAGCAAGCACCTAAGACATTACGGTCCGGAAAGACATGCAGCGGTCGGGAAAAGAGGATAGCACGAGACAGAGATGGAGACAAACAGAAGGCGAGAGAGAGACAGAGAGACAGAGAGACAGAGAGACAGAGAGACAGAGAGAGAGGAAGAGGGAGAGGAGAGAGAGAGCGTTGTAAATGGTGAGCAGCGGGTGGTTTCAGAGTACGTTTTGGGTGCTTGCTTTTCCGGACCGCTGCACGTCTTTCCGGACCGCAATATCTACAATTAGAGTACTTTTTGGGTGCTTGCTTTTCCGGACCGCTGCAGGTCTTTCCGGACCACAATGGCTACAATTAGAGTACGTTTTGGGTGCTTGCTTTTCCGGACCGCTGCAGGTCTTTCCGGACCACAATGGCTACAATTAGAGTACGTTTTGGGTGCTTGCTTTTCCGGACCGCTGCAGGTCTTTCCGGACCGCGATATCTACAATTAGAGTACTTTTTGGGTGCTTGCTTTTCCGGACCGAAGCAGGTCTTTCCGGACCACAATGGCTACAGTAGAGTACTTTTTGGGTGCTTCCTTTTCCGGACCGCTGCAAGTCTTTCCGGACCACAATGGCTACAATTAGAGTACGTTTTGGGTGCTTGCTTTTCCGGACCGCTGCATGTCTTTCCGGACCATAATGTCTGCAATTAGAGTACGTTTTGGGTGCTTACTTTTCCGGACCGCTGCACGTCTTTCCGGACCACAATATCTACAATTAGAGTACGTTTTAGGTGCTTGCTTTTCCGGACCGCTGCAGGTCTTTCCGGACCGCGATATCTACAATTAGAGTGTGTTTTGAGTGCTCGCTTTTCCGGACCGCTGCATGGCTTTCCGGGCCGCAATGTCTACAATTAGAGTACGTTTTGGGTGCTTGCTTTTCCGGACCGCTGCATGTCTTTCCGGGCCGCAATGTCTACAATTAGAGTACGGTTTGGGTGCTTGCTTTTCCGGACCGCTGCTCATCTTTCCGGACCGCAATGTCTACAATTAGAGTGCGTTTTGGGTGCTCGCTTTTCCGGACCGCTGCATGCCTTTCCGGACCG